TCACAATTTTAAATTAAAGTTATGGTTTGCTAACTGAAACTTTGTTTTAATAGTTAAAGCACAGGGGTCTGTCCAAGCCGGTACCTTTACAAATTCAACTTTAGGAAAAATGATAGAATAATCACACAAAATACTTTTTCTTAAAATTTTATTTTTTTGTCTCGTAAGAAACGATAAATCCATATTTTTACTATATTTGTGTTGATTCTATAATATAAGTTTTAATTTTCACAAAATAGGTACCTCTCAGAAAAACCCAGACAGACCCCTGAAGTATTCTTTAAATTCTCTATTTCATCTAGTCTTTAAATTTTAATCATGCATTTGTTTCAAAATGGTTGCTATGCATTCAAAACCATGTATTATAATGAAAAATTATTTTAGTTAGAGCTTCTAAAACATTGTTACAATATAGTTTTAATATTAAGTTAATTTTATTAAACATTTATAATTTTTTTTAAATCATAAATTAAAGTTCTTACAGTGTATTTGAATAAAAATCAAAAAAATCTGATTTAAATCAAAAAAATCCGATTTAAATCAAAAAAATCTGAATCTTTTGATTTTTTTTAAAAAAATCAAAGAAATCACGAACTCTGATAATAGGTAAGCATTGAAATCTAGTATTTTACAAATGTAAAGACACTATACTCTTTTTTTCTTTTGATTCTATACTTATACTTTTGATTCAATTATACTGCTTTACATTTGAGCCTTGATCATTATTTTGATAAAAATTATATGTTCGTGTAAGTAAACATCTGTATTTTAATATTTTAACAGGGTTCATATGGTCCTTAAAAAAGTAAGAGAACTGTGGCATGAATATTGTAGCTATGAAGTTATCTTTAACTTTAAAATTTTGAAACTAGATATTTGGAGTTAATGAAATTCAACATTTTATCTTTTAAGTTTCGATGCCACCATTTCAGTATCTTAAGGACCTTACGAACTGTGTTTTTAAAAAGAGACTATTGTATCAGTTTATGTTGTGGTGGTAAGAATCGTAAAATAAGTTCAAAGTTCTCTATTATTGCAACATGCTATTCTTAAACGTAACATATTTTAACGTTTTTAAAATGCCACTCAGCATTCACCAATTTTCATCAGTTATAAAAAAAAAAGAAATATGGTAAATTATATAAAACCTTGTAAATGTGCATTAGAATTACCATACCCTCTACATTTTTTTCAGACACTTTTTTTTGTTTCTTTAAGTTTTCTTGCCTAAAAGACTCGATCAAAGCTGTTAAAATGATTGTCCCTAAAATTTTTATATATAATGACAATAAGTTACGTAAATTTGATTTCAGTATGAAATCCTCGTATAAATGAAGTAAAAACAATGTAAAAAACACAAATTATGAAAGATTAAAAGTTCATGTGTTCCAATTCTATAAGCTTGGAAATTCATAAATAATTTATAAATCGATTGAAATTCTCTTTTGAAAGGATATTTAAAAGAAAAAAAAGTTTCCGTTTTGGTCAGAAATCAGCTCAAAAAATATTTTTTGCCTAGAAACTTCAAGATATTTTCTATTTAATATTAGATTTTAATATTAGATTTTCAAGATATTTCTTTTAACTATTAATTAGCAATCACACAACATAATTTTTTTTTCTTTTTTTAATATTCTAAACTTGGTTGTTTAGCAACGGAGTAAAATTAGGTATGGCTTTCTTGGATTTGTCTATGGTTATCTTAAATTACTCATTTGCGGTGGCGACTTTGATTGGCTGTTTTTTTTGGGACTATCGCCAAATATATAGATAAATATCTCCCTAGCTCCCCTCCCCCCTCCAATTTTTCTACCCTCCTATTTTGAGGATCAGGAACCCAAATATGTAAAAAAAAAAAAACATGTTTATTCAGAGAAATTACGTTTCTGCATTTAATTTCGTAACTTAATTAATATTTAACACTAATTATTAGCATATTTGAAGTCACCTCCAGGAACGATTTAGATTGATACTTAGTACGTGAAAATCGTATCATTAGAACGAAAGTTACCCAAGATGATATCTTTTTTATTTTCTAACTATATTTTAAGCTACGAAATCAAACTCAAAAACGTATTACCTCTGAAAACACATGCCTTTTTTTCCGATGGATTCGGATTTCAGACCCTCTAAATATAGAGGGTAGCCGTAAACTGGAAAATATGGTCCCAATAGTTTAGTCAGAAGAGCGATTCAAAGTTTGGACCTCTTAATGCTAATTTTATTTTTTTACATATTTCGCTATATTTCAAGAACTTTTTAAGTGGATTGAAAGATTTTTGCAAACAATTATAAAATTCGTTTATCTAAAGATAATTTCATATAAAATATAACTTTTAGTAAAAAAATTTTTATCATTTTATCTAATAACAGTCGAAAAAATTTTATGGTATTCAATTTTTCACATCATTTTAAAAAAAGCAATTTTAAAAAATACAAAATACAGAATAGCTCAAATAATTCCTGAAAAATCGAATTTTAAGAATACGACTTTTTTAAAATTCGATTCAGAGAAAGTACGTTTTTGAATCTGATTTCTTAACTTAAAATATTGTCTGCGCTTATTAATTTATATATTTGAGGTCAACCCCCCCCCCCCGAACCTTTAAGATTGAGTCCTAAAACTTGACATCAGATCGAAAGTTATTGGGGGTAGTCCGTTTTTTATTTTGAGCACTGTACATTGACAAGGAGTGGTCTTAACCTTGACAAGAAATGGCTTTAAATGAGAAATTTTGCTCTGTTTTTTTTTTTTTTTTTTTTTAAAAAATTCTAAGAAAATATCAAAATTTACCCTAGCCATGGTTTCACACTATGCCCTGAATACATTTCAGAATACATCATGTTCCACGAAAGTTTTTAATTGTTACCATACATGATGATGAAATATGATTAACCCCTCTGTTAAATACATTTATATAATTTTCAATTAATTAATTCATAATTGTTAAATTAAAGACATTCATATAATTTTCTCTGTGTATTCCTTCAGAGTTTTAATTTTAATGTGTATATTCTAAAAAATAAATTTTAAATTTTTTAAAAAAACCGTGTTCCTCCTCAAAAAGTTCTTTCACGCTACGCCCGTGGTTAATACGATCTCCAGATTTTTTTTTTTATTTTTTTTTTATTTTAGATGACAGCAGTCTTTTCTTTCATTATAATTAGAGGTTTTGTAATCCACGCTTCATAAGTACAGAACAAAGGAAGAACTGCCAGCCTATAAAAATTAATTT